TTGGTAGAAATAGGCATACTTTTATGAACAATTTCAGAGATACGATGAAGCAGTGCATTCGGTTGAATTCTTAGCTTCTAGATGGTTTATTTTGCCCAAATACTTCTGTAGTTCCTTTGCTGTAACTCAAGTTAATTAGAGAATTATTTTTAATCTATCGACTTTGGAGAGAAAATCTTGTCCTCCCACGTATCTTGATTTTTGGAATGATATTTTAGTTTCCGATGAAAATAAAACTCATCTCTCTCCATCCGTATTTTCCTCCTCACCGTGTTCATCTTTTTGTCTGCTAAAAAAGGCTTCTACAACTCACTCTAAATTTTATGCAATTTTTTGTTCCACTGTGCGCCTATAAAATTATGAGTTGATATCCTAACTGTTATTTGATATATTTAGATTTGGTTTGCTTATAGATGTCAGTTGTGATGGCTCATGATGATTTTATTGAGAATGGACAATACAACAATCAATCCAGTTCAATTCAATCAGATTCAGAGGATGATTATAATGTTTCTGTAGCATGTAAAAAATTTCCATCCATCATATTGGGAAGTTCTCCTCGAGTTGAATTATTTGATGCCTCTGCATGTTATTCAGATATTACGAGCTTTTTAGCAGCTAAAAATGGTGAGAACTTCCTTCTGACTTCAACTTGTGAAGAGTGGGTACAAGATGGTCTGGATGGAACTCTGTCTTCGCTGTACCCTGTCGTTCCAAGTGTAGGAAATTCTTCAGTAAGTGAAGAATATTCTTATAATGCTGGTCCATCTCTTCTGCCTACGAATATTGAGACTGGAATAATATCTAGTAATCCAGCTATCGATGGAGACTCTTCAGAAAAGGAGTTAAAATCACAACATAATGCAGTATCTGGCAGGTCATTTCTTGACCAGTCCGTTGGTTGCATACCTGGATTAAGTAAGAGGCACCAGCGCCTGCTTGACAATAGCGGCTTCCACACAGTGAGTTTTTGTTTTTACTATGTTTTTATTCTTAATTGAAGAACAAGTAAAGTCTCAAATATGTATATATAGTTGTGTAAGATGGGATGGACTAATTTTGTTCCTTTTGTTTTCTATGTAGTTGGGAAAATTACTACATCATTTTCCTCGGACCTATGCTGATTTACGGAATCCACAGGTTACTATCGATGATGGACAATACTTGATCTTTATTGGGAAAGTCTTGTCGTCAAGGTGTCATTCTCTTTCTCCCTCTGTGCTAACCTTTTTCTTTTATTACTCTTCCCTTCTTTTTTGTTAAAAAAATGCATTTAATTTCATGATTAGACATAAAATGGTAGGATTTTCTCATTTGTCTCTGGCATTATACAGTTTTTTAGTTGTAGATTAGTCAAATGAGTTATTGCATCAATTCAAGGTTGGTTTATTTGGGAGTGTGTTTGTCAGAAAATTCACCTTCATAAGTGGAATAATGTTATGCTATCAATGGGGCATTAATGCTATCTAGTATTCCGACATATAATCTCCCCCACCTCCCCCACTTTAAAATTCCTTTAACGTTTGCCAACAACGTGAAGAATAGAGTGAAAGAAAGTGTGTATTTCCTTTTGACTATGAGAGTCTCCTTAGCACCCGCCACCCTCTACCCCCACTTTTCCGCCAACCGCTGCCATGGACCGGCCACCGTCTGATATCCCACCCCCCTTCTCCTCCCTTCCGCCCATCATGCCTAACTGGAACTACCCCACCCGGAAAGTTTCAGTTGAACGTAAAACACTTTCCATCAAGGTTGACGAGCACTTCAAGGGAAGTCGCGCCCATCTGACTGAGAGCGGTAAGGACTCCTCCTCCCTCTCACTAACATGAGTCTCCTTATCTTGGCTCTCCAATCTCACCCACCTCGTACTTGACTCCCCCCTTACCCACAAGTTCTTCAAAGAGCATCGTTGTAATGACTATACTCTTTGGGTGCAAAAACTGAACAACAAGCGAGGCTACTGGATTGAAATCAACAAAATGGACAACAATGGAGGCAAAAATAGAATTATGGTTCCCTCGAGGCCAGGAAGAGAAGGATGGAAAGCTTTTTACAGCCTTATCCATGGCTATCCGGCCACTGATAAAGATCGACCGCCTCGAAACCCAATTGCACAATCCCTGACAAACCAAAAGGAACCCATGCCAACATTACCTGATCCCAAACCGCCATTACTCCCCTCCTTGAAACAACATTATGTAACCCCACCCACCCACCTAACTAACCCACAACTGCTTTTCCACCCTCCTGAAAAGCCAAACAAGTCGAACCTTTTCCCTGAAATATTTGCATGGAGCCATTGGATCATAGTACAACGTCACTCCTTCCATGATGACCGGCATTCTATCCTCCGCTCCCTCCAATTGGCGATAAGCTAGTTCTGTTCCATTAGCCCCATCCATGCTGACATAGCTCTGCTGAGGTGTGAAGATGGCACACAAGTGAGCGCCCTTTGCTTTTCTCCGGATTGGCAGACATACGGGCCTCACAAACTCCGTTTCTTACAAAGGAGTACCACAAACGTCAACTCAAACCGAAAAGTCCCTTCCTATGGTGGCTGGATAATCATTAGAGACCTCCCCCTACATCTATGGAACGGTGAAGTTGTACCATATATTGGTGACCAATGTGGTGGATTCATGAAGATATCCAAAAAGTCATCTAGACTCATGGACCTCATGGAACTAGAGATAAAAGTCCAAGGAAACTGCTTGGGATTCATCCCGACGATGATCGAACTGCCTCCATCTATCACTAAGGAAGCACCTCTATCTATCCACACTGACCCCTCACCCCTTCTTCATGGCTAAAAATCATGTGGGTATTCATAGACATCATCGAGGTCCCCAGAAAAATCATCTGCCTGTGACGATGCTCGACGAAATTACAGATTCCAGCCACCAGCCTATTGTCGGCGATGAGGCCCGACCCCGATTATCGATCGTTCCCTCAACGTCCGACGCTACCCCGATGTACCCGTGATTACTGACACCACAACAGAGATCTTTGACAGTGACCCATCACGGTTACCACAGGCTTTGACTAAAGGAAAAGACAAAATGGCAAGATCCTACTGCACCCCTCTCCTCGATACCTACACTCATCGACTGCAACCCACTGACCATCATTGACGAAAGAAGGAATGTCTCCCACAGGGAAGTATACTAGCCGATCACCCTATTCCAGAAAAGGAAACCTCTCCCTCTACAAGACAGCCCTTTCTCAGACAATATGGAAGCAATTGACTACCTATCCAGCCCCCTACCTGAGGACAGCCCTCTACGAGGAGGATAGCTCTCTTATAACCACCCCCGCAGCCCAACATCAACGATTATCCCAGCTATCCTTTTTGGTAATTTCACCATCCTTGAGACCACTGACAACCCTTTACCAAAACACCCAACATCTGCCACACATTCCCCTCCATCCACAAAACAAGCTGCCAACTATTTACAAGCTACCTTTCCGAATCCACTGGATAATAACCCAACCACACAACAACCAATAGACATAGACTCACTGAGCGTTGACTTTGCTGACAAGGCCATTGCAGACGACCTTTTTTCACCAAATAGCCTTTGTAGATACCCAGCGAGTTACTTGCAAGATATGGGGCTATGCATCATGGCCATCCCACAGGTTAAAACAAAACAAAAAAGCATCCCTCAGAAAAGACCAAAGGCTGGAAACAGGGAGCTCAGAAACTTTTCATCTTCTATCAATTATGAGAAGTGTAAGCTTCTCAAGGGGGTGTGAGGTATCTCCTCACAATGCTTTTGGAATTCAACAAAAGAGCCCGTAGGCAATTACAAGCAGCACCCCACCAATTCGAGAGGGTGGGTAACTCTCCCTACCGCTACCTTGAGCTAATAATTTCCACAATACCTCTTCCCCTCCCTCGCAAGTCAATTTCTATCATGCCCTAACCAACCACCCGCCCTGGCCCACAGTCTCTCTCTCCAGGTCGTTATTCTCTTTCGCTCCCTTGATTGTTCCCCTCTCCCTAGTACAATTCCCTTTCTACCCCTTCTAGAATACGTTTTAGTTACTGGGGGTCTAACAGGGGGTCCATCCACTGTTAGATGAAGCTCCTCTCTTGGAACATTAGGGGTTTGGACTGATGGAGGAAAAGAGCCCTCATAAAACAATCCATCTCCCATATCAATCCAAACGTGGTGTTCTACAAGAAACAAAACTTGCTAGCATCGACCTCTTTACCATTAAATCACTATGGAGCTCCCACGACATCAACTGGACAGCCTTAAATGCTGAGGGATTGGCCGGAAGAATCCTGATTCTTTGGAACAATCCAGACTTTACAGTGCTAGAGATCATAGAAGGTGTCTACTCTCTCTCTCTATTCATTTTTGTTTACAGGAATATATGGCCCACAAAAGACACTTGGCTTTGGGTTATTGACTCCTCAAAAACTTTCTCCATCAAGTCAGCTTTCAATCACTTGATTGCTTCTGAGAACCATCACCAGATCACTCTCTACACAACCTTATGGAAGGATAAGCTTCCCAAGAAAGTGAAGTTTTTCTGTTGGGAACTCACTCACGAAGCTCTTAATACATTTGATAGATTGCAAAGGAGGCTACCACACCCAGCCATCTCCCCAAACTGCTGCAACCTTTGTTACAGAGCATCGGAAACACAAGGACACCTATTCATCACTTGCGAATTTGCCTCTTGTTTTTGGACCAGAATCCTCACAATATTTTGGTGGCAGACTAATCTTCCAACGAGGCCTCCTGTCTTCCTTGATTACCTATTGAATGGACACCCATTCAAAAAGGAAGGAGCAATCCTTTGGACACTTATCATCAGGGTTTTCCTTTGGAGGTTATGGCTTGAATGGAACAATCGGATCTTCAATGATGTATCTCTACCTTTTGAGGGTTTTTTTTGATAGAGTTATAGTTTTAGTTCTTGGTTGGTGTAAATATTTCTACACACCCTTTAATGGTTACAACCTAAACGACCTTATTTATTGTTGGAAG